TTAGGGTTTAGGGTTTGGGGTAGTTGTCTAAATTAGGGTTCATTTTGGGGTCCGTTTTATAGGGGTGCCGTACTATATTCGAAACCTAAAAGGGGCACTAATTTAGAGAACTACCCATGGAGGGCTTCAGAACGTTCTACAAAGCATGTACAATAATTGCCATGTCTAGGGTTTCGTAAGGCTTTGCCATGGTTTTGGCCGGTGTGTTTAGGGGCTTTGCAGCAGGGTTTTGAGGCTTGCATACGAAACCCTCAACCCCTAAACCCTAAACCCGGCTTGCATGCCGTAGTCTACAGGGAGCTCCAGGGCGGAGGGCCTATTCGCCCTCAACTGAGAAACATACGGTTGATGATATAAACCTTGCATTACCCATAGTAAGGAAAATACCATGATTCCCATAGTTTAGGGTCCTTAAGGTACTGCAGGGTTCATATCATCAGCAGTACTGTGAATTAGACTGGGATGTAAACCCTGAACTCCAGACTTACAGGCCGACCCTGAACCCAATCCCAGAAACTTGCATCTGCTGCCACCGTACCTTCCTGTGGGTAGTTCTCTAAATTAGGGTCCCCTTTTAGGTCCCCAATATAGTACGGCACCCTTATAAAAAGGACCCTAAAAGGGACCCTAATTTAGAAAACTGCCCATGTCTATTCCGAGAAACCCATGACCTTCAAGCAGGGCTTTCGGAGTTGAGGGCGCCAAGCTTAAACCGCAACATGGTCTTCCTTCGTCCGGTCGGTGTTGAAGTGTGCCTCATCCTCAATCTTAGAGACTCTCCATGGGATCTGTTTGCTTGCATTCCACCAAACTCCTGTGTTGGGATTTCAACATGACTAGTTTTTGGATCCTTGAAGGGGTCCATGGAGCATTGGTCTTCAGGTGCTTTTGGGTTGTGGACTCACAAAGGCTTGTGGGGAGACATGCTCGCACACGGAGACATATCTCAAACAAGCAAGAGATAGTCAGAGATAGTTTGCGTTTTCCATCTGCGGCTTTACCAGCCTCCCATGTCGGAACCTGCTGCCAAGAGGGCCAAAACCGAGGTGCCCGAAGCAACAGCGACTGCGGAAGAAGTCAGCGACGTGCTGTTGGACTTCGGAGGGGACACGATTCCGGTAGGCTCTCAGTTGCTTCGCTTGGCGTCTCCGGTGTTCAATCGCATGCTTGTGAGTGGTATGAAGGAAGCACAACACAGCATCATCAAGGTGGAAGTGGCCAGCAAGGAGGAGTTCAAGGTCTTCTACGACTTGCTTGGGCCCTTCTCATGGAGCAACGACAAAATATCCGAGGCAAATGTTGATACACTCCTTGCAATCAGCGACTACTACCAAGTGGATATCGTGAAGCAGGGCTGCGAACAGTTTCTGCTTGGTCTTCCACCCACCGGCGACCGACTCCTACAAGCTCAGAAGCATGGCCTCAACAAACAATATCAAAGATGCATTGTGAGTATAGCAAAGGAGGGCACAAAGGATGACTTGCTCGCTCTCCAGAGCTATCCGGACATCCTCCTCGACGTGGCCCTTAAGCAGCAACAGCAGCCACAACAGTCCAAAGCGCTTGCCAGCATGAAGCGTGAGATCACCGCGTGCAGAAAGCTCGTCGGTCAGCTTCCTTCAGGTGTTGGTGGCGACAAGGTCTTCTTGAACGGCGCGCCCTTCAAAGGCTTCAATGCCTATGAGGTTCTTCAAAAAGTGGAGAATTTGCTGTGACGTTTGTTTCGATAATTGTGGCAGCTGAAAACATCTGAAAGCTCAGATTGTCGCAACGGTGGCAGGTAGTATCCAGGGTGAATGTCTTCTAGGCGGGTGGCAAACATGAGTGGCAGATGATGCAGCAAACATACTGCTAACGATTTTCGCCGCCGGTCTGGAGACTTAGCTGTATGGACCTCCGAAATGTCCTCCGGTCTCCCAATGATTTTCATTGTGAGGGGCCCTAAACCCAAAACCCTAAACCCTGCACCCTAAACTGCACTAAGCCGGTGCCACCTGACTTTGTGGACTCATCATCTCAAGCATGGTGAGCTCATAGCTGGGTACGAGGGACTATTCCGGTCCAGGGTTGGAGGTTGGTGCCCATTATACTATAACTATAGTAAAGAACCCCCCCCCAAAAAAAAGATAGTAATATTGGTCATTTTTTGGCCCCTACATGAATCCTTTATATGAGTCCTTGTTACTTTCGACCTGCATTAAGGGGCAGTGTGCTATCAGAGCATCTTTGATTCTACGATCAATTGAGAGGTCTCTAATGTGGACGACCACCTACATGAGTGTGAAAATCCCAAGGACAGAAATGCCACAGTCACATGTGCGCTTGCTGTTCGGCAGAAGCCTACTTGATTCGAGGCTAACAGCCTGTCTCTTATTCTGTGGCCAACTTGATGGCACTTGAAACAAGCAATGATAGTTATTTTCCGCATCACCCGAAACCCGAAACCTAAACCCCAAAGTTCACAAGGCAAAACTAGCCGAAGCCCGAAGCCTTTGAACGTCTCTAACCTTGAATGTTATAGAAAATTTTCATGTGTATAGTCTGTATAGTAGAAGCTTGAGACATCTGCCCTACACCCCCAAAACTAAACCCTACACCCTAAACCCTAAACCCTAAGCCCTAGATGGAGGACCTCCTCCCTTCGCCGGACGTGTCGACTCTCCGCCGTGGCCCAGGGCCAAAAGCCTGAGGCGCCTTAGTTCACGGTTTAGGTAATATAGGGACCCTAATAATTAGCATAGGGGTAAATTATACTATGATTCTATAACCATAATGAGGAATCCGGCATATGGGTAGTTCTCTAAATTTGGGTCCCTTTTAGGGTCATTTTTATGAGTGTGCCGTACTATATTTGGGAGCCAAAAGGGACCCTAATTTAGAGAACTACCCATATAGTATTGGTCATTATTGAGGCCCCTACATTTTGAGGGTTTGTGGTTCCGGGTTTAGGGTTGCGGGTACAGGGCTTAGGGTTTAGGGTTTTGAGGGAAGTGAAGGGTGCGGGGACATACGGTTGATGTTATAAGCCCCTAATATGGAATATACCATAATTCCCTTAGTTTAGGGGATATAAGCCCTTAATATGGAATATATCATAATTCCATAGTTTAGGAGTTTAGGGTCCTTAAGGCAATGTAGGCTTTATATCATCAACAGTAGTGTTTACAGGGCCTTTGTGGGCATTACCCCAAGCCCGATGTGTTTCCACTGGGCACACCCTCAACGTTGAACCCCCTCCCCTTGCAACTCTAGACGATGAGCCTTATATGTCCGCGAACCGAATTGAATTTCCAACTAATCCGTGTTTAGGGCTCACAGGGCCCGACAGTCGAGGAGTTTGGCTGCAGACAGCCGAACCACCCATCTAGTATGACATCCCATTTACAGAATGCAGAGGCTTAATTCTTAAACGTGAGCAGGCACGTTCATCGGCCTTCTGGTATGATTTGGGTTTGAATTACCTGCAGTAGACGCGGACCACCTTAGCGTTTTAAGTTTCCCGAAGCAGGACTTGCCGCATTGCATTGCATCAGGTTGCAGGGATGTTGTGCGGGATCTAACACTATCCGTCACTATAGCCCCTTTGTGCAGGAATAACCCTAAACCCTAAACCCTAAACCCTAAACCCTAAACCCTAGAGAGATGAAGGGTTCGGAGTTAATGCCTTGATCCGTTTGGAGCTCGGGTTCTGGATGGTTCTGGTGTAGGATTTAGGGTAGATCGACGTGCTACAACACCTCCCCGGCCGACTACAAGTGTCGGCCGCGAGCGAAATCGGCACGACTGTGGCAGAGTTGGGTGCAAGATGCCAGAGTTTTACAACATCAAAATGCATGCAGCATGCTTATGTGCCCATTTGCTCCAGCCTATGGTTCCCTCGGACAATCTTGACAATCCTTTAGCCACAGAAGACGCGAAGTCGATACGAAAGGACTTCCATGAACTGGCAAGCTGGAACATGGACCCGAGCCCCCTAGCGCAATGTGTGAAAGGGTTTAGGGTTTAGGGTAAGTGTGAAATCCTAAACCCCAAGCCCCAAGACCTAGCAACCCAATCTTAAAGGCGGCTAGAAAGGCTTTTTAGCCCTTGCTTCGAGTCAGTCCTTGTTTGGAGGGGTCAAAGGTACCCAGTTAGGGTGTCGTCGACAGTCTTCGTGGTTTACGGTCTCAATATACGAACTATGTTGCAGCCGAGCTGCACATCTTCATCCACAGTGCCACTGTTCCGAGTACTGACATATTTACCAACACCGTGCGCTAACTGTTCAGCTTTGTTATGGTTCTCTGGAATCGTTTCCGGCCTTAGGCTGACCATATTGAGATTTACGGATGCTGCCGGGATGCCAAACCGTAGACGAACATCATCTGTCTTTGTTCGAAGGTTCCTGTCTGGAACAAACGAAATCCAACATGATTAGAAGATGGTTACCTTTGATTAGCCTTGATGCTTAATTTATGCAAGTTGTGAGCCTGCAGCGAAACAACGCGTCAGGGTTCCGGGGTGACACCTTTAAACGCTTAGCCAATGACCCATGTCGATCAAGCAAGCCCGCACTGATCCGACTCTGCCAACACCTCGGTAGTGAAGCCCAAACAAAGTAAGCTGCATTCCTTTGAGGCATGGAGGCTGAACTTACGGATGTGTCCGATGGGCTTTACCCGCACTACTGCGACGAAAACATCTACTTCGACGACGACTACTACCTAGTATATTACTACTACTCCTACTACTACTACTACTACTACTACGACGACGACTACTACTACTACTCCCACACCACTACCACTACCACTACCACTACCACTACCACTACCACTACCACTACGACGTCGACGACTACTACGACTAGGACGGTGATGACTAGCAATTATCATGCATGTATTGCCAAACTGGATCTTCCTTCGGTCAGCA